GAATGGTTTTCCAAACTGGAACAACAGCTCGATACAGAAGAAGGAAAAAAATTAACTACAAATTGGTCCATAGAAACTTGCACTTCTTGTAAAGTGTTCCCATACTTTATTTCTAGAAATTGTTGAGATAGCTAAGGCTAATTCTAATGGATTGCTTGTATTAGCATTTTCAATATCAATATTGTCATGGCTAGTTAACTGTTACTTTCATCATATACAATTTGTATGCTATCAAATGAATTTTCATATTCCATTTTTAAAAGAAATAAATTAGCAAAACAAAGGATACGATGTAAATAATTAAGCAGCAAAACTATAATATTACAAAGAAAAATTAAAAAATCATCAAGAAAAACAAAATATTGAATTTTTTTTAACTTACCTTTTATATTATTTTTTTAAAAAAAAAAAAAACTTTTTTAATTTTCTAGATAGTCCAATTTTAATTTTCTAGATAGTATATTTAAATAAAATTAAATAATTATATAACAATTTATATGGACTGGTGCATATCTGATTTGAATTATATTGAATTTGATCTGAATCTGATTTGAATTTGATAATTTTGTAAATTTAAAATTTGATTCAATCTGAATCTGATCAGATTAAAAATTTTGAAATTTGTTTTGATCCAATTCATATTCATTTTACAGATTAATCAGATTCAGATCAAAATTATGAACACTAGACATAACTAGTAACAACCTTTGTCAACACATCAGAATCTCACCTAACAGTCTAAATAAACTTCTCCTAGACAAATTAGTCTATAACAAACTCCCACTACCTTCTACTATCGATAACAACCCTATAATATACAACAAAATGCTCATAAAAACACTTATAGATATAACAGAAAGCACACTTATTGAACTGGCCACCATCTGATAAATAATCCACAAACTCAAAAACATTACAGTATATATTGATGGCCTCTTGGATACAAATCACAAAATAGATTTTGAATGGTATATTACTTAAACTTCAGGAATTAACTTTAAAGGAAAAATACATAACCACCTTTCTTCTATAAGAGCTGATTAGCTACTATTGCATTATTCTTAACAATAGCTCCAGCAAACAGCAACATTACAATATGTAGTATCAGTCAAGTAGCACTCGATGCTATTTTCAAAGCTCAAAGAAATCCAATTACTATCAGAACACTCAAAAATAATACTTTAATCAATATAATCAATCATATCACCAAATAATAAAGACTTAATATAACATGGAGAAAAATTAAAGCACATAACAATAATCCAGACAATGATAAAGCAGACATAATAAAATATTATAAATTTTTGATATTCAAATAATAAATTTATATTAATTAAAAATTTTTAATATTTATAAATGAAAATAATATCAATATTTTTATTAACATAATACAATTTATTTAAAATTTGATATTTAATAAAAATTAAACAGTATCATATAATATGTAACACCATATAGCTGATGTTTATATTATAATATACAGTATATAAGAAAAATTTGAATAAAGATTCACTTGATTATTCTAACTTTTCAAAGTGTCAATTCTTGATAACTTATTAACCAATTTAGATTAGAAAATAGAACATTGCAAAATAATTTTTATATTGCGGGGGTCAATTAGAAAAAGGATAATAATAGGAATCCTTGATGTAATGAAAATGGGTTTGGATCTTTGTGAATAACTCCGTTGTGATGATGAGCTTCCGAGAGTTAAAAGTGTTAGAAATTAATTAATCCCGTTATCCACCAATAATTTTGCACCTTTCCTGTTTTAGACTTGTGTACGATCTCATGTTAGCGTAAACCTTAACTTATATTATTTTTTTCATAAACCCTCTACGAATGACATATTAAAATCTTGACAAAATTCTGAATGGAATAAAGACAAGGGCGGTTAACTTCTAGATTTCTCAATTATTTTCAATGAATTCGTCCAACTTTATCCACGACGATCATTAGAGAATTTCATTCATGATCAACGCTTCTTTATTTTATTTAGACATCATTCCGATAAAATGGAATAAACCCTTCGTTAAAGAAACGTTTTACTTATATGGCATAACGGACATTTCTGTGTTCAATGGATGAGAAATTCATCCGAAAATTCTTTCGGCAAATATTTGTTGCGCATTAACTATATCATTTCTTTCTTGTCACATCACCAAATGATAACGTGTAACACGGGCCGATCATTATTGTCCTTGGGCCACTTCCCAAATATGGTGAATATTTAAAAGTAATAATCATCATCACATGTGGACAGTAACACCTCGCTTAGACTCTTCATAATAACGTATTTAATGGATGTCCCAGTAAATTTCCATAAGAAAGATATCAATCGCCTTTTTTCATTCCGATAAACTCTGCCAAACAGCTAAATTCGATAGCAATGGCATTTTACTTAACTACGATATTGAATATACTATGGGTGTCATCGTTTCTCTCCACAATAAACATGACGATTACATTCGGGCGTGAAGGAAAAAATCCATTGCTCACTTTGTTTTGCATGTTCGTGTGTTTAATGAGCTTCGACGTGTTGATGTCTTTGTTCTATGGCAATGAGTTGACTTTGGCGCCCCGTGGATTTTGCATATCGCAAGCTTTGATAGTATGAACACGTTTTCATCTTTTATTATTTTGTTCGAGCAAATTTCTTAATTTGAATGTTCTTTTCAATCAGCTTAATTTCTGCGCATATGCAACAAGCATAACAACCCTGTGCTTCTCCATACAACTATACAGAGTCATAGTACTCAATATTAAGGACAATCTCAAATCGTTTTACTATTTACTGTGCTTCGGGTACCCTTTAATAATGACTGCAATATTGTCAATAGTGACTATTAAGTTCGATGCAATTAGACCGCGTGATATGAATTGGTAATTAATCCGTGTCTCATTGTTTGCAGTAAAAAAGAGTTGGGGTTATAAACTTAATTTTAAATCTTCTTAGTGATGTCACGTACCCGCCCTGGACGCGACTTATTGGATATGCGGGTCCGGGTTTGATATTAAGTATTCCCGGGATGATTTGGAGCGGTATGTATGTTTAAATTTATTCATCAACTTCCTATATCACAGTTTATTTTAAGATTTTGCATTACAGGTCGAGCTGCTTGGATAACATTTTGTCGCGCTGAAATGCCGAAAATTGACAGTCCGTCACTTGAGAATGGAGATGAGAATGATGAAAAAACAAATAATTTCGATAAGGGCACGAAGAAAACTCGTTTTAAACATAAATTTAGAATTCTTATTTCGCCTGTAGCAACTTCAACTAATTCGTTTCATGTGGAGCACAGTTTAACTACAGAATGTACTATTCCTGACCCAGTCGCCGCCGAAACAACTACCGTGAGACCTAGCACACTCTCTAGTCAAATCGACATAATTGAAGAACATGAGTCTTCACCACATATACATTCTAGCAGAGTTCCGTCGAGAAAAAGTTGTGAATTCGACACTCGAGCAGCTGCAATACGAATGGCGTTATTCTCGGCGGGACTTCTGTTAACGAATTTATTAGTGGCAGTAGGAACATTATGGGATGTGAGCCGTAACAAAGCCTTACAAACTGGGATTTCTTTGAACGACATCGTAGGTAGCCTAACAGGTGTGACCATGTATCTTGTGTTTGGAAAATTCAGATTATCGAAAAAAAAGCTTTCGGGAGAATGGTAGATTCGAGTTAGTAGCGATAATGAGGAAACGCTGGAAGCAAGCAAAACATTAAAGGGACACTGGTTTTTTTTTTTTTTTTAAACATAAAAAAAACCACCTAGCGCAACAATTCCTTAATATTCTATTTATTTTATTCTTGGATTTCACGCCTAACCATAGCGTTGATCTATGACGTCATGGTTGGATCCCACAATTTTCCAACTCGCACTACTTTACATAAAAGGTTACCGAAAATCATTTCCGGTTCCTTATCCTCTCAAGCCTTTTGGCTAAGATCAAGTGTAGTATCTGTTCTTTTCAGCTTAATATCTGAAATGTTGTACACTGTACAACTTCGATATTAAACTAATTTTTAGAATTAGGGAACAGGGTCCCTGGCTTGCCATACCCTTTTCCACGAGTGTCCTTAGTATTGCACTATTTCTAGGTGACGCTCAACCTTTAAAATTTAAGCGGGTGGTAATGGGTTGAAAATTATTGTAAATATAATTAAAAAAAGATTTTTTTTTTTTTTTTTTTTTTTTTTAACCTGCAATTATGTCACAATGACATGTTTTTATTAAGATATTGAGAAATATCAAAATATTATAGAACTTTCACATAGTGATTAACTTGTTTTTTTTTTTTTTTTTTTTTTTAACCTGCTGTCAGGCTAGTTATGTGCGCTTTATTAAACAAAAGTAAACTATACA